TATATATATATATATATATATATATATTTCACTTACCATAAGCGGAAGAAGGATTCTGTAGTCTTTTGTTAGCTCAAATAGAAGTAATACTGAGGTCAAGGGAACTGAGCAAATTGAAGCAAGTGTAGCTGCCATTCCAACCTGTAGGATAAGAAACCTATTAAGTTCATGCCAACCAAAAGTTTCAACTGGTCCTACAAATAATTCAAATGCTTACAAGAGCATATGCCTGAGGCTGTGCAAGGGCACCATTTCCAGGAATTGCAGAATTTATTAACTCTGCAGCGGAACCCCCAAAAACAGCACCAACAGCAGCACCTAGCATCAAACTTGGAGCATAAAGGCCCCCTACAAGCCCAGAGCCCTTACAAAGAGCAGTTGCTACTACTTTCGCCGCAGCAAGTTGTGTTAGCAGCCAGATTCCAGGAGCAGCAGCACTCTTACCAGTATGCAAGATTTCATCAACATTAGTGAAGCCCCAGTACAATGTTCCAGGATATTTCAGAGCTATTATACCTGCTCCTAAGCCGCCTAGAGCAGGGCAAACAACAGCAGGAAGGCCAAACCTTTCCTTGATATACTCGAAGCATCCTGTGAAAAAGACAACCAACCTAGTAAAAACCACACTGACTGCCCCACACAACATGCCCAGGATGAGGTAGAGTGGTAGTTCTGCAACAAAAAACATAATACAAAATGAGAAGTGTTGAAATAGGCTCCTTCTAGGAGCTCATGAAGGTTTCCAAAAATCACATTAAAGTAACCTTTCTCAATTAAACTGGAGCGATGTATGCCAAACGCATGAAATGATATATTTACAATATCTAAACCTTTATTTGTAGAATATTATATATAAGTGCAAAATACAAGAGGATGGTGGGCCAACATCAGATAGTGCTGAGTTATATGATGAAGAGAATATTTTTCTTCAATAATTATGTTTAAAACCTCAAAATGAAAAAACTCAACCAGCCACAAGTCAGATTTTGAAAAATAAAAAGTTAAAAGCAATCCAAAAATAAACATGACAACAAACAATTGCAGATCTCCTATCCCCCTAATCTTCCAGTTAAATCTACTAGCAGTCTAGGGATGCAGTTCTCATAACAATATCATACAATTGTTTCCTGAAAGCAAATCACATAATACCAATATCACAAACAAGTTCAAAAGGCCAAAAGGAAACAAAACTATGCTGAAAATTTTGTTCCACATTTGCCATCATCCATCAGAAGACTTCAGAAGTGAAACACATGTTATTTCGACCATCAGTTATATTAAGCTGAGTAAGAATAAGATAAGGTACCGGCAGCAGATTTTAGTTCATACGTCGGCACAGTAAATGCTGGTCGTTCTCCAAGTAATACATTTGAAACTGTGGATGAGATAACTGATGCCAATATAATCATCGCAGTTGTGAAGGGTGGTGAATTTTCTGCACGTAGTGGCCTCAGCACAGTTTCAATAGCAAAAAAGCATCCAGCAACAGCAGCATTAAAACCTGATGTTAAATTAAAGAAACATTAGCAAAAATAAACTTCTTTTTCTTGTGGAGAAGGAAACAATGAAATTACACGAGCAAAAAATCAAGAATGGCATAGAGATATAACGGCAAATGGTGTGAATACAGATGCTAAGGGCGTTTGGCTGCATGTAAGAAGTGGGAAATGAAAACTGGGAGAAGTGCATTGCTGTTGTCGGTTGAATGGGGAAGGAAAAAACTAGCACTTTTGCCAGAAGTGACAGATACAATTCTTAACTTCAGGCTCATATGCTCCAAAATTCAGGTTTTACAAAGCTAATCATTTCAGCAAAGTATGTCATAAATTATGCTTTTTTGTATGTATGAATGTATATATAGTATGTCATAGATTATGCCTATATATATATATATAGGCATAATCTATGACATACTATATTATAGTGCATATTAAAATATTACACAGTATTAAAAAAGTAATGCATAATTTATCAATTAATCATAATGCATTAGATAATAGATTGCTAACTTCTTATATGTATATGTAATTAATATAGCAATGAATATTTTATACTCAATAAAAAATATTTATAATGAATAAATTATTTAAACTACTTATACATTGAACCTTTTTTATATTTCATAGTAATTTTTAAACCTATATTAAGCATTTTCACAGCTCTCATTTTCACAAATGAGGCCCTATGCTTCAATAAGATAAGTATCCAGGGAATGCAAACTAAAGATGAAGCCTAAATCCTTCTCTGAAATTAAAATCCAGTTTATGAAGTAGTAGACAAGAACCCTAACAACCCGTTTTAAGCATAACCCACATATGAAACCCCATAAGGTCATTATATATTCTGAGGTATTAAACGTATCACCAGCCTTCCGACTACAAGAAAATAAAAATAAAAATTTTAGAATGCTAAAAATGGGCACAGCTTTAATGGAATAAGATATCCCTGACTAGTTTTACATAAATTAAGATCTAATGACCAATTGAATAATTCCAGGCATGTATACCATTTGAATTTTATAAAATTCACAAAATGAGGAGAAACCTAATACAAGGGTAAAAGAAGGTCAGTTTGAAATCACATAAAAAAGATTACGCATAACGCTCGCTTAAATATTTATGCAGAGATCATAAAATGAGTATTAATGATGATTTTAGTTTGAATACAGCAAAAATTATTTTTGACCCAACACTTCAATAACCACTCAAAACATATTCTCATGAAATTGAACTTTATCCCGGTCATGATGACTTCTGTTAGGCCCATTCACTTAATTTTAAATTTTGGAACAACATTAAGTTAAAAAGACTAAAAAAATAAAACCTGAAGCAATCCCAGCAGCAGCACCAGCAGCAACAAGAGCAATCCTCCTTTCTCTATTGTTCTCCATCATTTCAGAACATCCATTAGCACATGACTTACCAATGTCTACGCTAGGACCTTCGGGGCCCAATGAACAACCGGTGCCTAAGGTCACAGCAGCTTGGATAGCCTTGATCACAGGAAAGATTCCAGCCAAGAAGTCTATGCATGGTTTTTGTGATCTAGACTGTTTTATCTGCTCAAATATTTCAAGTAGTCCATGCATCATCCCTACAACAACCCCTCCAGTTACTGGTATTAACAATATCCTATGCCACGTATCAGCTAGTCTTTGTAATCGAAGCCAAGCAGCACCCTCATTTGGAGTACCAGCCCAAGCCCATTCGTGAATCACATGCACCTAAGTTAAATTAAAAAACAAACTTTGAGATTATAAATTCATCCAAAGTCATTACAATGAATTCTAATTTTAGAACTATTTCATTTCATTTCCTTCAGGATACTTTCTCTACGCTAAATTTGAGCACAACTAAAATATAAGCAACATCAAATAAAGAATGTATATGACAAGCTGAGATACATGTTAAATAGAGATACTTTCAAGGCCAAACACTAACAATCGGTCCAGATGCGTTTTCACACCTAATAACATATTTTATGTCTAGCATTTGGAAATCCAAGTTAGTATAAAAATGATTTCCCAACCACAAAAGTAATTGTTTTTTAACATCAGCAAAAAAAAAACGAATATAATTAACCTATAAACTCCTTAAAATGAAATCAACAATATCAAAAACTGAGTCATAGTAAGTCAGCGTGTTAGATTGAAATTTTAGTGCAGCCAATGGTGAATAATGCATATTAATGACCCCCTAAAGCACATATGTGCATATTAATGACCACTAGAACCACACCGCAGTTAGCATATCTCTCCTTGCAGCTCTTTCTAATAGGTTTATTATTTCTCCTAATTCTCATGCACGCATGCTAGACTTTCCCTCCAAATAATACTTAATCCAATTCTCCCATGATGTGTGCCAAATTTGTAAAATCATTCTACCAAAAAATTGAGTCAAATGATGTGAACTCATCCCACAAAACCAAAATTTTATTAGATGGTATTATATTGATGTACAAAATCTCAGCACAATTTTTTACTAGTTTATGCTCTCTTCTCTCATACTAGAAAAGGTCATCAATTTTATTGGATCTTGACATTTTCATTTGCTTGGCGCGATGTGGAAGATGAAAATGGCATGTATGATTTGTACTATGTATAGGCAATAGCATACAACACAAATCCCCTATAGTAAATATTATTTTGATTCTTATTATTGTAATTTATATTAAATATTGGTATTAATTATAATTTATTAAAATATTTTATTTCATTTTGATTAGAATATTAGGGCATGGTGTCAAAACCTAAGCCTTCGACATTCCCTCCCCACTCATGTGTGAGCCATTCTTGATCCCTTGCCATTGACTGGGTGCTGCACTCAAATGTCTAGCCATGCACTGCTCTTAGTCTCAGCTCACCTTCATCAATTCATTAGAGGCTGCATGTGGCAAATTGACTGCATTCAACTTTTTCTCTTGGCTCACCTTTGTCAATATGTTAGAGACTCTTGGTCTCACGCAAAGCTAACACACTTGAACTCTGCCCCATGCAACAACTCGAATACCTTTGGCATCCTGGCCTCCAATTCATCAAGCATTTTATTAGGGCTCTCAATCACGCCCTTGTGGAATATCTCCTTCGACACACTGCTCTCAACTCTAATGCACTAAGGGTTACAAAGCTTTGGCAAAGAAGAAGGGCTCGCATCGTGGTACATATTCCTAGACCATTGCTTCACTTCCGATAAAATTTACTGTAAGCTTTCGCAAAAGGAATAGGCTTTTATAGTTTTCTTCGTCAAATTCAATTTCTACTATGGCTAAGTTGCTAATTGGTGTCTCTTAGTTATATAATATCTTGAACAATGGATGTTTAGGCATAATTGAGATAAGTTTCTTGGGCTCAAAAATTCATTTTATTGTGCATGTCTTATTCAAATCATTCATTACATCAATTATGCATCCTGAAGAATGAAAAATTTATTTTTTAATATTTTGCCCTATGTGCAACATGTTAAACTACGACTTCACAGAGAACTTTGTGTTATAGAGCGTTATTCACTACTGAAAAGTATAATTTCAAAACAATCTTAAATAAAAGAATCACTACAGATGACTTTGCATTACTCAATAAGAGTTTTTCAACTAATATGTCGGTTAAGAAACAACAAACATAAAATTTTTAAATAACAAATCTCAGCATTATTATCATTAACTAATGTCCCAATTATGTGAGGTCACCTTTACAAATCAGTATTTATCATATATTCCGATTGATTGCTACCTATGGTGTCAAACATATTTTTCAAAAATTAGTAATAAACACTGTTTAAACATTTTACCTTAGCTCCATTTCTCCTCCATGATCCTGCATCACTATTTTTATTTACATTTCTAATGAGAGCATTTTATATACTTCATTGACATGCCCAAACCACAGTGGTTCCATGACATCTTTGAATAGCAATTTTATAAATGGCATTCATTTTTATATTGATGGCATCCAGATGTAGGAAAGATCAATTGGCATCTAGATATCAGGCTATCAAACAAATACATAAAAACAACAATAAATATCAAAATCACCACTGATGTTTTTAGATAACATTAAATTATTAGGTTTAATAACATTAAATAAAACACATTGCATTTGAAAGATAACACTGCTATCTAAGATGAAAATATTATCATCTAAAATATCAGTGAGCCTAGCAGCAAGTATTGTTCAATCAATTTATCCTTAATAGATAATGAATAAGTAGAATAGTTTCAGTAGCAGAAACTGCTTACAAGGTAAGAACACGCATGAAACGCCTTGCTATTTTCCCTTGTCAATAAAAATCAGCGTTGTGCTTTCTATCAGCTAATGTGATCACGCGGCAAGGATGAACTTCTTCTCATCATTTCCCGTAAAAATATTTATACTCTAATATCAAAACATGCAATTAACACAAAACCAAAAGTCAAGCCAAGCAGCAGTTCATAGCCATACCCCACGATTAAAGGCCGCAACGCATATTCCAGTAGCAACTCCAAGTAGACATCCGATGAGCAGCAGCGCCCATTCTGGCGGTGCCCCGTCGGCGAGTTCTTCACGCGACCGCTCATAATCCGGCCCCGCATGAGAGAGACCGCGGCCGGATTGCCTGCGGTTGAGCCGGGGAACGGAGATACTCCGATCAAAATGCCGAAGGAGTTCGCCAATCCCTCTCCCATTTCTCCTTGCAGCCGACGGAGACGACGATGAGGGCGGCGGCGGAGAAGAAGGCTGGGCCTCAAGATCTGTATCGGAGGCCGAGGGAGCTGATCTGAGAAGAGCTTTGTGATCCTCGGAATCGAAGTCTATTCGCAACATCTCCAGATTGGATTACACGCTCTCCCCAACAAGTGAAACCCTAGATTACCATCCAGATTCTGCTCCAATCGAAACCCTTATTGATCCGAAGAAGACACGGTGTGGCGGAGCAGCGGGAGGAGGAGCGGCAGTGCGGAGGGCGGCGAGTTCTGGATTGCCGTGTTGGGACCCACGCCCAATTGTGGGCAAGCTGTAGCGTGTTCTGTCCAGCCGAGTCAATGGAGAAAGACCTTTTTTTCTAATTTATTCCAGTTTCATGTATCATATGACCTAGGCCTGATCGACACGAGTCTATAATTTATCGGGCAAAAGTGGGTAGAAAATGGGTGGAATTTGTTAATGGATGGTTAGCGGAGATATCGTGTGAGTGACTACATGAAGTATGGCATTGCTTGGAATGTATTCACCGCTACAAATGGCTTATAATTGATTAAGGTCTCTTTGAGGTAGCTTAAGTTTTTTTTTCCCCAATTTGAAATAATCACTCTACTCTTATATTGTAATATTGTTTTCAACAGAACTGTTCATACTAGTACATTCTATACTATAAAAGCAAATATTCAATGCAGAACATTATGAAATAAAGATAGACGCCACACTTAACTGTGAGTAGCATGACTACTAGAATTAAGAAAAAGAATATTAAAATAAAAATTAATAATATTATTTTTAAAATACAGACGACATTTGTCACGAGCTAAGCCGTCCTTCAGAGATACTATCCATGCTCAATCACTCTCGGCGGAAAAATTTTCAGCCTATTTGCCCACCAAAAATAGTCATGGTTTATGTGATTCTCTACGAGCACCTGTAAAAATGTCTCCCGTAGCTATATGGTTAACGTGAAGTTAGCTGGGAACTTTGAAGTCCACAGTAGCAGTGCAATCCTCTAGAGGGACCAAAAATACAAAAGCTCATCTTTCTTGAATGCTTTAAAAAATATACCCTCAAACATAGCACTAGTAAAAAGTGATAATAAAAGTAACTAATTATAGTTTTACGTAGTTGTGTGGTCTCAGGGAACTTGATATATAAACCAATAAATATGTTACCAGAAGAAGACAACAGACCTTATAAAAAAAAGTTATTGGTTGTCTTTAACTCTCGTAATACTAAGAATGTGTGTGTCGCATATGCATATCACCAAAAAATGTCATCCAGAAGAACCTAAAAAACCGTAACATCAAAAAATAGAGAAAAACTTGATTGTCTTCATTATAATTTCACATGTGATACCAACCAATAGTAATATACAGGCCATCCAGAAGAACTCAAAAGATCAAATGTCTTATTATAGACCTCCAAAGCCCACCAAAATAAAAAATAATGAAATGCAAACGAAAAAAACACATACGAATTGCATAAAAAATCAAAACAGTAAGTATCAAATGCATAAAAAAAATAAATAAATATGAACTACATAAAATATTGATACAATAAATAGTGAATGTCTTCAAAAACCAATACAATAAAGTATATGATATAAGCTTTCCCTCCAATCAGTCTCAAACTATCACATCCGCAATTCATTCCCTCAACTCTGATTTCTCTCTTGCACCCTCCCCATCTTTAATGTAGGTCTCGGGAACATCTTTTTTGGCCTGTAACAAAGACTGTCAAAGGCGATACTCATATGCCTTGAAAGGGACAAGTTCATGATCCTCGTCCGCCCTACGAAAGTCAATGTCATTGCAAGAAGAATGGCACCAAATATAACTGTATAGGGTCATTATGGCAATCATAATCTGCACCTATTTGGGAAACGGGTAAGATGATATATCACAAAGTATTAACTCATTTCTTCTTTCTAACACCAAAAGTCCTCTTAATAACACTGCGTAAAGATGAATGTTTTTTGTTGAACATTTCTTTCCTGCCCTGCGAGACATTTATTGCTCGCTCAAAATTAGGTATGCGGTATCTCATATCAGGATAGAGCTTGAGTTACCCTTATTGTAACGGATACCTAGAATCGACAAAATAGTATTTATCTGATATGAACTGAATGAATAGTATTGAAGGAAAAAAATAGAAGGGTAGCTTAGTCTCAAGAAAAAAGGAAGTTGTATTTGTTAATATGTGTTGCAGATTTGAATATTCAACGGTCATGTGCACTGCCCTCCAAAGCAACATGAGAAATGAAAAATAGAAAATATAAAATAAAATAAGCAAATTACAAGTAAACTGACATGTCAAATGCAACACAAATATCCAATACAACATGAAAAATCATAAGAAAATAGAAATGTCCAAAGTATATAAACAAATAACAAACATGAAATTTCCCAAAAGAATCTAATAAAAAAAGTGTCCCTCAAATGTCACTGCTCCCATGAATATAACGTGCGAGTTTTATTATGAAAAACTCTCTCCGGGTCGAATCTTCAAGCAACTTCATCCAGAGCAAATACAACAGCATGTTTCTCATAAAATTTTGGAGTTGCATCTATAATTCATATAACTTGTTGGACAAAATTTTTTTTATGATGGGCTGGGGTCATTGGCGTATGAAGCCTCCAACTATGATATCTGACTTCTAAGGAAAGCAGTTTCCCTTTTATTTCAACCCAGGGACACTTTTGACTAGCTCGTAGACTCAACTTCATAGACGTCCAGGATGGGGCCTTCATTGGAATCACCTATTTAATCAGCTCCCAAATTTCTGAGGATACCACCAAACCCCGCTTCACTGAGGGCACATGAATTGTTGTCCGTTGCCGCGACACCTTCAAACATATGATCCAGCTTCTCCTCTAGCTTAGGATGATTCCACTGCATTTAAATTTTTTTGTAGCAAACACCACTTACAATTTCATATAACATGTTGTTGGATTTAAAAACAAATTATAATTTGAAAAAATAAGGGACAATTAAAAAATGCTCACCACCACACTCTCTGCACACCACTTCGTGGAAGCATCAATCATTCTCTATACCAGATCCCAAACCAAACCCATTGATCCTCGCTTCAATTCCTTCCATATTTTATAATCCTTCTTTAGTTGATCTCACTTGTTTCTTAACTGCATCCTATAATACTATCTATTTGTACTTTTCTTGAACTTTCTAATAATATTTTACCAGTCTTCCTTGTTAAAATGGTTGTCGGTTTTTTTCCCAATTTGACCTCCCTGAGGTAAAGGTCACAAAATGTTAATTTTGTCTTTTTATTTAGGAATTCCACAATATCACAACTGAAAGAATCACCATGGTCCATCCACACCACACTACAACACCACCTACACATCACCACTACCACCACCTCTACACACAAACAACTCCATACACCAACACATTAAGACATCAATACATCCACAACACCATCACCACCCACACCTCTACACACCAACACCTCCAGACAAACACAATCACACACCAACCACCACCTCTACACATCCACCAATACATCCTCGAATACAAATAAAACCACACACCAACAATCACCTTCACACATCCACCAACACATCCTCTAACACAAATACAACCACCCACGAACCACCACCTCCACACATCTTCTAATACAAACACAACCACCCACCAATCACCACCTCCACAACAGCATCACCTCCACACACAAACTAACGTACACCACCACCAAACATCAAAGGTTAAGATAAAACCCAACCCCATATTTTTTATTTGATGCAGTTACATACAAGGCACCCAAAATATTGCTATAAAAAAAATTAAGTACCTTCTTTTAGCCATTTCTCAAATTCTCACTCAAAAATATAAGGTAAAGATAAAACCCCACCCCATATTTTTAATTTGAGGCTACTACATACAAGGCACCTGAGACATTACTATCAACAAGTCAAGCCCACCCTTTCAACATTTTCTCAAATTCTCCTTAAACACTAAAGGTAAAGATAAAACCCCACCCCATATTTTTCATTTGATGCAGTTACATAAAAGGCATCAGAAACATTTCTATCAACAAATCAAGCACCCTCAAGCACCCTCTTTCATCATTCTCATTCAAACATCAAAGGTAAAGATAAAACCCCATTCCATATTTTTCATTTGAGGCTACTACATGCAGGGCACCTGAAACATTGCTATCAACAAATTATGCAACCTTTTTCAACTATTTTTTAATTACTCACTCAAACATCAAAGGTAACCCAAAACCCCCCCTCCCCCCATATTTTTCATTTGAGGCTACTACATACAGAGCACCCGAAACATTATTATCAACAAATCAAGCACCCGCTTTCAGCCATTTCTCAAATTCTCACTCAAACTCACTCAAACATCAAAAGTATCAAACATCAAAAGTATAGATAAAACCTCATTCCATATCATATTCAACCACAAATTCATAAATCCAAATTTCAAATCATAAAAAGAAAGCCACAAATCAAAAAATCTAAATTCTCACTTCAAACCACAAATGAGAAAGCTAGAAATAGCAAAATCCAAATTCTAACTTCAAACTGTAAAATGAGAAAGCCACAAATCTCAAAGAGAAATTCATTCCATTGAAAAAAAAAATAGGTGATAGCATGGCAGGATGGAGAGCACAGTGAACAGAGTGGGAGCCGGAGATCGGAGAGAAGAGAGAGAGTAGAGAGGCAATCGACTGCCACCGCAGATCAGAGGGAAGAGGGAAAAGAGAAAGGTAACATATTGCCACCGGTGAGAGGCACGAGAAAATATTGATCAAGAGAGGCATGACTAAGGCAAAAGAAATTCAAGAGAAAGAGAAACAGTGAGAGGGGAGAGCTAGAAGGTAGTAGAGTAATAGGTTCGTGAAAAAATGCTGGCCGTCGGGTCGAACCTGCGACCCGCATTTAACATAAATTTTAAGGAACACTACCACGCTGTTATTTCCTAAAGCTTCATTCGATGTTTTCAGAATGCATCAGACAAAATAAGTTGCCCTAAATGGGCCCCTAGACTAACTTTCATGGAAATGATTTCACAACTTCCATATGCAATATTTAAAGTATGTGTATAAACTTGTGTAGGCATAAATTTCAATGCATGCTGGACAAAAAAATTTCAAAATGAAATTTGAGGTCATTTAATTGATAATTCAAACCCAACGACATAAAAAGCTATTCATTCTAAGTTCAGATAAGTTTTATATCAAGCACTTTGGAAGTTTTGAAGAATTGATTAAAATATCAAATGGTCACCAAATTTGACATGCTTATAATCAGATTAAGTGTTTGGACAGAGGAATCAAATGAGCTTAAAATCATTTAATGTTGATGTCATTAAAGAAATTAAATACTAAAACAACAATATATAATCAATGGA